AAAATTGCAGTTCAATTCTTCATGTGTCGAGATTTGTCCGAGTTGCTATCGAACATGGTGTTATTGTTCTTCTCGATGCCTTTCATTGCACTCAAGCCGTCTTTCCCAATGTCTTTGTCGTAGTTTCGTCCTACGGATGCGGCGTATTCCTCTGAAAAATAATGAAGAGAAAAAATTAGTTATTTATATAATATAATATCAAAAATTGTTCAATTGACTTACGTTTGATTGTTTCCAATCCTGCTCCAAATGACTGTGCAACTTGGATATTCCTATTGAAGTATTTCTACACAATCGCCCAATTTCACAAACATATTACATTTGTCATAATGAAATTATTTTAGAAATAAGAACATATCCACAATTTTAACTATAACAATCGTGGTGATTTTTAAGTTGTGTTAACACGGTCAGGATGGACCGAGATGGTATCCATGTTCATCTCCGTTCCAAACCCTTTCATTTGATACCCATATCGACTAATAATGTCTAGAAATTATGTTTTTTCGTGTTAACTCGTCCATCATGGACCAGGATGACCTGGAAATATGACTAAAACCACCGCGGGCTCAAGATCTATCCAACGGTACCCGGCACATCCGGATCGGTTGGGTGGTTCAGAAGATAAGCGCGAACATACATACATAATTTCCCTTTTATATATATAGATTGAAAAAAAACCTAAAATCGAAATTCTTGAATGATAAACTAATTTCTAGTAACAGTAGGCAAACAAGAAATACAGAATTAATAAAAATTCCAACATTCACAAGTTCATATATGCATAATCAGTCCTTTTGGTCAGCAGTCAGGCATTTTAATAATAGCAAGTTAGAATATGAGAACAGCAATGATGAGAGAAACAAATATGTTAATGCAATCAAAACTAGAAGTTAAGAGAAAATTTTATTGTATTGTATTGAAACTGTTGTTGAAAAAATCAGGTTTTTACGGAGACGAATGTACTCTTTTTGCCTGTAGCCAGTATTTGGCGAAATTAATAATAAATAAATAAATAAATAAATAGTTTTTGACAAATTTTACGTTTGTTTTCTCCTTAGTTCATAATTTCATATTGTTTTTTTTTGCAAAGGCAGAACATTTTGCTTAACATGTTCAAATGAATAAACATATTTTTCACGTGAATAGATGTCCTCAAAATTGATTCATTTTCTACTCATGAGTGAGAGACTTCTACAGCGCAATTCATTACTTTCACTGCATGTCACATACAAAAAAAATTTGCAATGAATTGTTGTTTTCACACTTTAAATTGTCTATTTATACCAAACATTAAAAAAAGCAATATTTTTCATGTAGCAAACGGCACGGCCAATTTCAGCTTTTTTCTGAACACATTATGTCAAGCTGTCGTGATAATAGGAACGGGATGCAACCCAATGTTTGTTTGTTATCAGACATTTATCCAAAATGCCAATAAGAACACTGAAAAGAAATTTAATTCATTTTCATCTTCAAGGGGCACATTTCATAAAATTACGATCTTGAAAAATTACCAATAGGATTTTATAAGCTGAACACTTCATTCAGGAAGAAGAACAGAGAGGTTATTGTGCGTTTATTGGTAAAAATCTGTAGTAAAATTGTAATTTTTTTTTTCAGAATGTAATTAATGTCACGAATGTTTCATGGTTATCATTACGTGAATCATACGATGCTTAAGATATTATATTTCGTGTTTGCACGTCACATATTTTGTGCGCGTAAATAAAATGTACTCGTAATTCAATGTAATACCTTTTTTTATTTACTCAAATTCATATGGATGAAATGAATAGCATACCATTAAATGTTCGTTTGTTATCCGATTTTCTTCAAAACAGCAACGAATATATTCATTGTGCAACTAAATATGACAAAAATAAATGCATTTGTTTAGTTAATACCCAAGAGATGAACAATCATCTTTGCAAACATCTTTTTCATGTCTGGCCAGACTTTTATAAATGCCCAATTTATTCGTGAGCACATGAAGTCTAATGAGTACTTAATTCTACAAAAATTACGACAACTCGCATTCTTCGTCAAATGTTCCGGTCGGTATGATTGCACTGTAGATGCTCTTGAACTGTTCTAGTGAGCATTTTGCTCCACACGATGGGATCTCCAATGGACATGGATTTTCATCATCTGTGTTTCGGTAGATTATTTGCATGTGGTATTCATCGTTCGAAGAGTACACTTCGAAATGAAGACTCGAGCCATAAGGTGGCTCGTGCGCCTGCAAAAACAGAAATGTGCTTTATAAGAAATGCCTTTAGAGTATTAAATAATTAAAATTTCCACGGATAATTACATCGAATAGTTGTAGAGCATTGAGAACCTTGACGATGGCAAATCCGGAACCTGAGTACAAAAAGAGAGAGCGATCCGGCGATAGAGATCCATCTACTTTTTGTTGCAATTGCTCAACGATTTCCCGTATTAAAAATCCCGCATATAAACGAGCCAAAAGTGTTGTTCGGACTTCGTAGGCATGATCTGCAGCCCATTTTAAATCACCATGTTCCAACGCTTCAACTCCCCAAGCCGGTAAACTTCAGACAAAGTAGGAAAAAGATTAAATTGCACAAATGAAATAATTGCCGATTTGGTTACTTAAAATCAGATGCCTATTAAATTATAACATGAATATTAAGTTATTCAATTGTAAAATTGGAGAAATATGAAAATTTTCATTGAATTTTGCGTACGTTTTGTTTTTAAGTTGTTCGATCCAAAGTACATCATATAGATGTTTTGCATCATAAAATGTGTTGATTCCCATTCCACTCTGCTTTTGCAATTAATGGAACATCTCCTTGTGTCGGGCCATAAGAGCGATGAACTGTGGTGATTTTAAATATTCATCGATAGCATGAGCGTAGCGAGGACATTTCTTTCCAGGATATAAAATATAGTCTTCATTTTGTGGAACTCTATGAATCGGAATCGATAGCCACGATAAATCACTATTCAATATTTGGTCACTTTTAGTTTTGCCAAATAAACCGGCCAAACATGCAGCTGCACTCCTTTTTGTACGTCTTAAAGTGGAATATGTGAGCAAAGACAGTTGGCTTTATAAACAGCAATTCTGATTGAGTGAACTTTTTTACGTTTCACTCACTTTGAACATTCACAATATCATCTGAACGGATATCTCCAAGCAATAACGCATATCTTCTGCGTAGATACGCGCCTAATTCATATGATTGCTCCATGCCAACCTGAAATATGATTCGCATTTGAATTTGCTTTTCAATTTCAATATTTTTCTTTAGTTAATACGCATCAGTATCATACTCACTTGCGTGAGCACGCCCCAGCCTCCTGGCCATGATATGTCTTTATTCGAATCGGTTGGAAATGTCTCTATAGTGATTCATAGATGAATTATTGAATAATTGGATGTAACTAATTTCAACAGACAAAATAATGTTTTCATTTAAAGTCTTGTTTACGATTCGGCGACAAAAATTTCGTTGTGATGAGAGAAAAAAAAACAAATAGTTCCCTCAAAATGAAAATTTCGGCATAAATTGACTTTTTTAAAAAAGAAAATATCTGATGACTCATCGTCGAAAATTTCTTCTTTGGCCAATACAATGTTCATGATAAGTGCATACGGTGCTATTGCGTGACTACGAAATTGGTAAACGTTCCAATTCTATGGGCGCCACCATATTGAAAATTTACGTGCGATATGGTGCACGCACTCAATAGTTCCACTTATTTTAATAAGGAATCTCTATAGGAGGCGCTGCCATATCGTCATTGACATCGGCTCAATTATTGTCAATATAATAACATTGTTTATATAGGCTTCGAACGCACTACGGATAAGTGTTCTGCCAAAACAAAAACTGTGGCAAAAAAGTATATGAACTAGCTTAAAAACACGTAGCCATGGGATTGCGATCGCCGTGTCGAAAAATCTAAATAATTATTTTCAAATAAATTTTATATTTAAAAAAACAACAATAATATGACATCAAAACTCTACTCACAACGGCTGCAATTATCAGTTTGGGCTCACTACGAATTTCAGTTCCGTTTTTTCTTGTAAAATGTATCCATAGCCATGTGTTGGCGAACAGACAAAGCCAAGAAACCACCATCAAAGTTTTCCAAAGTTTTAATTTTGACATTATTCTTTTTCTCTCTCTGAATATTTCGTTCCAAAGTGTAAAAAAAAATGAAACCAAAACGCGACTGAATCACTTGAAATCTGATAAAAGAATGAGACGCGTTTATTTTGTGGCCGTCGAATGATTTCGAAAAATCCAATTTCACCTGTGTACACAACCAGCTGCGATCAGCAGAGAAAATTACAATGGAATAAGCGTTTTTTTTCGCGGAATGAAGCATTCTTTTTATCTCTATTAGCTTTAGGACCCATTGATGCCCACGATTTTTCTTTATCGCAAATAAAATATTATTCTATTAGCATATAACTTAAGAGTAATTGGGGTAGTTTGACATACACGGCAAACCCTTAGATTCAAATATTTCTTGACAAACTGAAGTGTCAAATATCAGTAGTTGCACAATTTTACCCTTCATATGTGAACATTGGACAAGGAGAATGAATAAAAGCTTGCGTGAATAAGTGAATTTACGTTTATAAGAGTAGCGACTAATCGTAACCCGAGTGGAAATGCCTTTGCTTCTAAAAAGCAATTCATCATCGGACAGTTTTGCTTCTTTTTTCTGAATTTTCATCAAAATATTGCAGCACTCCTGAATGCTCCTGAATTGCTTCGTTTTCATCTGAATTTCTTCTGAAT